GGAGGAGCTGGCTGGGACGAGCAGAGGCCTGGGGCAGCCAGCGGGGCTGGGGCAGCGCCGCTCACCTCCCCCTTCTTAAGGGTGTGAACTCGGGTGTGACGGCGTTTGCGTTGCACGGTTTGGGCCTTGGGAACAGACCTGCGCACGCGTGTTTCCAGCGGGGTGGGTCGGCTGGTTTGTGTTCCAGGTTGCTCTGCTGGACATAGACATCTGTGGGCCATCGATCCCTAAAATGATGGGTCTCGAAGGAGAACAGGTGAGTGAATGCTGCCACGTGGCGTTCAAAGGGTGTCTGCTTAACTCTTCATTAACGGTCTAGGGTTTTGCAGACTTACAGCTTCTGAAAGGACTGCTTATTGGGAAACGCCTGGGGCAATGGGTAGGGCAATAGAGAAGGTGAGTTGGAGAAGTAAAGCATAATTTAGTTTGTGAAAGATCTTTCGGGATGACTGGTTCTGAAAACCAATATTTGCTGCCTATTGGCCACATATTTGTCACTACTTAAAACTTGAGTAATGTTAGCATGATGCTCTTTTATCAGCCCTAGAATATTTTATATAAATGTATAAAGTCACGGGTAAATTTCTTGTAAAAGGGTTGAACAGTTACTGTTCACTTATTAATGGAAATCTGGCCCTTCTGCAGTTGGTAACTCAGCTGCTGCAATAAAGCAGTAGTGTACCTACAGGCAGGGTATCTGCCTGCCCAGCTTTGGCTTAACGTTTGTGTTTTATGTAACATCTGTATTTGTTTTTAATGTGACTTTATGTATCGCTGCAATTTTCAGGTTCATCAGAGTGGATCTGGATGGTCTCCAGTGGTGAGTATCTTGCACCCAAGAAAAAACTCAGTAGTCTTCAGAAAATGCAGGGAAGTTTTTGCGGTAGTGTTGGTTCACCATTAGTGTGTATGCTGTTAAAAAGGCAGCGTGATGCTGAGAGGGAAAGCTGCCTTTAGCCTTACACTGTCTCCAGTGATTCCATAAACCACTGTAAATCTTACTATAACTGGACTTTTTTCAGTCTATGAATGATGTTGGTGAGCATTGCACAAAAATTGTGGTTGTCAGTGCCCTTTGATAAAAGAGAAGCATAAAGTTCTCTGCCTGCCTTTTCTTCATGTCTCCCCCCCCCGCCCCCCAACTGCTTTTTCTATAAAATCCAGGTTTACAGTTGGTTTCTCTACTCTTTCTTTATGCTCTACTGAGATTCTCTACTTCTCTATAGTATGTCGAAGAAAACTTAGGTGTCATGTCTGTGGGGTTCTTGCTTAGTAGTCCTGATGATGCTGTCATCTGGAGAGGACCAAAAAAAAATGGTACGTATGGAATGTTTTCAACAATTTATGTACTTGAAAGATTTAGTATCGTGAGCTTGTTTAATTAGTAACGTAAATATAGTATGGTAAGCTATAGGAAAAAGTGAGTGAATGGTTAGTTATTTTCTTTAGTCAAACATACTCATTTGATGAAGTTAGAAGGTGAAACGCTGTATTGGTTTTCTTTCTGCCACATTCTTATCCTTTCTTTTAGGGTTGATCAAACAATTTCTTCGCGATGTGGACTGGGGTGAAATCGACTACCTAATTGTGGATACACCTCCGGGAACATCAGACGAGCACTTGTCTATTGTACAGTATCTCAGTGCAACACGCATAGATGGTGCTGTTATAGTCACTACCCCACAGGTATGAGAACTTGATTTCCTTTGATAAAAGCATCATGGCAGTGAAAGCCAATCCTTGGTTTAGAGCATTTAGGGGATTTAACTTCAGAGAAATGACGGTACAGAATGTGAGGGATTCTTGTTTTGTGCCGCCGGCTGGCTGGTTTAAGAGTTAGGTAGGTGTCTCAGTGGGATCTGAGTGGGTCGCTACACCACTGAACAGTTCACAAGCAAAAGCATTGTGGTGAAGGGAAACACAGTAGTTCCCTTCCTTCTTCAAGATCAGGGTTCACATCACTGCGAATTTGTAATTTACTCACTGACGGCTTAATGTTCAGAAGTCAGTAAGAAATTTAGTTTTTAAGTGATAAGACATGCACCATTTGACATCACATGAAGTTGTCGTGGATGAATTGAGAGGAGAGGCAAAAATAATATGGTTTATTGGTGTGAAACAGCGAGTTAACAAAGTTCAGTGGTAAATGCGACAATAGTTTATGAGATTCGATGGCAAGGTACACTTCGTTATTTACTGCAGAGAGGACAGGGTCAGACAAAACTGTCAGGGAGACCCTCCCATTGAGTCATGAGGTTCAGAAAAGATCCCCTTGCTTTCTAAATTCCCTCAGAGAGGAGTATAGGTGCGGCTGGATCCAATCCTAGTCCCAGACTTGGTCAACGGTTTATGTCTGAAGGATTATATATGCGCAATCAATCCTTTATGTCACTTAGCTAAGGTTTCAAAGTTAGCATGCTGTTAGTCACTTAGCGAGAGTCTGCTGTGGTAAGGAGTCTCTCAGCCTCAAGGAGTAACCTTGAGAGGCGTCCCTGCTCAAGGGGAGATCCTGGCGTGCGGCCCGCTGCCGTGCAGGAGAGCTCAAAGGGCTCTTGGGCTGCTCACTATTTATGGGGGTAAGAGAATTGGCTCATAGTCATATTTGCATACTGACCACTGTGCTTAGGTGGGCACATTCCACAATAGCCCTTGGCTATTGTATTGTTATCTGTCTCCCCCCACATCCAGTGGGTGCATCCTTCATGCCCAGACACATCTATCACCACCACCACAGGTGGTTACCACTTGAAAGAGGTCAAGGGAGGGGGAGTCAGAGATGAGGGGAGAGCACACCGCCACAGAAGTAGACTGTTGGCTCCAGTAGGCAACTTTGCAATGTGCGTTTTTACAAGAAAAATCAGCCCCTGGAGAGCTGAAACTCAAAATGCATCAAATTCAAATGCAGGTTTTAAAGCCTGGTGTGGAAAGGAACAGGAGATCAAGCAAGCGAAAGACAGCTGGTATTTATACAACAGCTGAAAGAAGAAAACGTAAAGGAAGTGAAATGTTGAGGGCAATATCAGATAGGTGGCGAGGGAAGGAGGAGGAAACAGGAGAACTGAATGAGTTCAGGCATATATGCGAAAAGTCTGAGAAGATTATAAGCTATTTGAAACTTAATTTAAAAAGAGAGAACAAGCATAAGCCTGGTGGTTCTTGCCCTTGCCTGCTGTACTGAGAATGCCAAGGGTCTTTCTGGAAACTGAAAGTGTGAAAAAGTTACGTTTAAAGAACTAAAGATATGAGATTAATATAGGAGATAAAATACAAATATGGCTGAATCTTTACTAGAGCCAGGTCAGATTTCAGAACAGAACCACATTCAGTAGGCTACAACTGCTGTCCGTGTTCTATTGCTACTCACAGAATTGTCGCTAGAGCACATAACGCAGGTTTACATTCTTCAAAATACAAAGAGAGCAGTAATAATTCATTATGAACTTCCGTTAAAACAGCTCTAAGGGTATAACTTAATGCATTCAGCATCAAAACATTCCAGTTAAAATGGCAGTGTTTCCTAATATTTGTAGGAAGTGTCACTTCAGGATGTTCGGAAGGAGATCAACTTCTGCCATAAAGTGAAACTGCCAATCATAGGTGTTGTGGAAAATATGAGTGGCTTTATATGTCCAAAGTGTAAGGTAAGGCTCTCTGTATCTCGGAGCATTTTTTTATCTTGACATTGTTTGTATATAAAACATTGCAATTCTGAAAACAAGGCATTTTTTTGAGCAATGTTTAACTGTAATTTTCATGTTGTCCCAGAATGAATCTCAGATCTTTCCCCCAACTACTGGAGGTGCAGAGAAGATGTGCCAGCACTTAAATGTTTCCCTTCTGGGTAAAGTGCCTCTAGATCCTCAAATAGGTAAAGTTCCTGTATTGCACTACATTTAAAACAAGCGTTCCCTTGTATACTGACGTTACTACTAGAAAACCCTGACTTGGACACGGATAAATTAGAGTAGTAAACATTTTGTCTCTTAGGTAAATACCCATTTTTAGATAAAACATTTTTTTGAATCAAAAGTTACTGGAACTGTGACGTAGCATGGTGTGAAAAGAGGAAGGTGCCAGGATAATCTTGATTAAGATTAGATTATGCATCTTTTCAGCGGTATAATCATATCTGAAGTACATGTCTGTCTCTTTGGTGGAATCACCTGGAAGTGCAGACTGAACAGAATCATAACTACTATGAAGAATAGAATCTTGTACATGTTAAGCAGTAAAACCAGTGCTTTAACTTCACTGTTACTGGCACTGTCCAAATTCTGTGGTGGGTAATGAGGTGGCTTGGTTCCTTGCCCACTAGCTATTGGCAATTAATACTTGATTCAATGGCATCGAGGAACAGGTTCAGTACTTCCAAAATAATGACTGAAGGTTTCTGCTAGTAGTATTCCTTTGTAAAACTGTAAGCTGTAGCTCCAGTCATATTACTGACATAAGGACTTCATAAAAGGAATAGATGCAGGCGGCTGTTAGGAAGGGTATAACCGGTGGCGGGATAAAGGGTAAAATAAAGTTCATCTTTCCATGTTGCTTTGCTTTCATGTTTTTCCCGGTCCTTCAAGGCAAAAGTTGTGACAAAGGCCTGTCTTTATTCTCCGAAGCACCTGAGTCTCCAGCTACATTGTCTTACAGGAATATCATTCAAAGTAAGTCTGAAAATCACTGTGCAAATGAATCCTCTCAGTTCCGAGCACCTCTGCAACGGATAAAGGTGCTAAACAGAATTACCTTGTTCTGCCACAAATAATAAAAACAGTAGATGTGTATAGAAGTTATGAAGGTAACATGCAAATACTATGTTCACTTATTCTAGGCATCTGTTATGGCAGGCATCTAAAATGGTAATGAGATTGTATTTAATAACTGGATTCATGTTTGGCTTCAGTAGTTACCTTCCAGAAAGTGTGCTTGCTCTCATAGAGAAGCTGTAAGATTCTCATGCGGGCCTGTTGAGGGGTGCTCACCATAGCTCAGTGGAGTTCAGCTGGCTAATTATCACCTCTGCTTCCAATTGTCATTGCACAAAAAAAAAAAAAAAAAAAAAAAAAAAAAGTACCTGAAGGGTCAGTGGTGTGCACTTTAAAAATACAAACAGCCGTTTTCACTGTGATAAAGGCCCAGCTTGTGATATTTGTGCTAGTAGGGGACAGAGTGATGCAGCAATAACTAACTCCTAATGTGCAACTGAAGTATTACTTGTATTACTTTTTCCTTGTCTTTGCAGGAATTCAGGAATACTGTGATCAACACCATTTTCAAGAAGAAAAGATTATCTAATCTATGAATGGAATACAAATGTAGTTCATGCTTAATTATAGAAAAGTAACTTATGCCTTGATTTCATAGAAGGAATGTTTTCTTTTTGTATATTGCAAATAAATTCTTAATATAAATGCCCTTGCCTTAGGTTTTTTTCCATAGTTCAAGATTCTTGTAGTTCACAGGTGGCCTCAAAGCTTGCTAGAAAGCTCTAAAACTGCGTCTTTGTGTTACATGGGTGCAATCAGCATCTGGTATCATAGTACTGATAACCTGGATATGAAGACATGCGTATACAAGACTTTATTTAGCAAGTTGAATGTGAAATGTGCTTCGCTGACATTGGGGTGTTCTGTCTACCGTATCCACTATGCATGTGTAGCAGGCTTTGTCCTGCCTTCTGCGCTAGGAGGGATTGCAATGCCCGTGCTCTCTCAAACAACATCATTTAAGTGTCATTCCCTTAAATGGAAAAGGTCTATAGCTAGAGTGAAATGCAGTGTGGTATTGTCTCCTTTTGTTATAATTGGGATCAGTTTTAAAATAAAAGCTGAGTAGAGTTAAGGCAAGTTAATTATAGTACAATATTTATTATAGGTATCAGAATAAGATTCACATATTTAAACTATTAATACATAACTGACTGCTTCACACAAGTACTGTGTGAACGTGCTACGTGCCTTTTATTCTTTCTTCTACTTGACCCTAAATCTGAACAGTAAAATAAAAACTCTGTATCTTTAATAACTAAGAGGCCCTTTGTGATGGCAATTCCTCTTTTTATTGAGGAATCGAAGCTCAGAGAAATCAGTATTATGCACAAGAGGGAAAGGCAGTTTGATTTTGTTTATTGTAGTTCCAAAATTAAACAAATGGGCATCTTTTGATTATATTCTAATTCTTGGTTAAGCAAATCCAACAGTGTCAGGTTAGTTGACAGATTTTTTTCTTAAACAAGTTTGCTTTGTATAAACTGTAAGCATTGTTTTTGTGCCTATACAAATCACTTTTTGATGAAACTTTTAAGTAAGTAACAAAGGCTCAAAACCTTTCAGAATCTAAAGACTCAAACAGAAATGACATAAAATCCTTACTATTTCTGGCAGGCATAATTCTAGAAGAGCTTTACTTCAAGACCTTCATATGAAGAACAGCTTTCATAAATTAGTATTTTTGCTGCTGATCCTTCTAGTTCTTCCTTATTTGATTATCTAGTGCCTGTCTTCCCATGTTCTTCAATGCGGTCTTCTGAAATTCTCCCCGTCTGTCCTGTAGAGTGAACACAGGAAGTGTGGGTGTTAGCACAACCTGGTATGTAGGAATCTTTTCTAAAAAGCAGGGAGGAGCCTGGTGGAGGTATGTAGGAATCTTTTCTAAAAAGCAGGGAGGAGCCTGGTGGAAGCCTGAGGGTTGAAGGTAGCTCTCCCAGCTGTGCTAAGGCAGAGGCATTATAATACCTCAGGAGACATCCCTCCAAGGGTTTAACTCTGGGGACATTCTTCATGGGGCTTGGAAGCAGCTCAGTTGTGAAGCTTCAGCAGGCTTCTGAACACCAAGAAAAGTGATGTGGGGCACAGCCCCTCCGAGCGAGTTCTGCAAGAGAGACTTACGGGAGAATGAAGATAGCCCTGCCAGGAGTTCCTGTAGGTGCCAAGACCAGGGAAAAGCCAAAACCAACAGCATGAGACAGGTCAGGGTGTGACACCTCAGGGGCTGTAGCTGATAGACCAGCTCAGTACTTACTCTTGGGAATATCTGTGACAGAAAACCTTGAAGTTCCTGTGCTGATGCTTTTTTGTCCCCCTAACTTGCAGTGGATGTAGCCATATAAATTAGCCGTCTGAAGAGAGATCCCAGCTATCACAAGAGCCTGTGGACAAACAACAGTTCAGGTGGGACAAATACACTGCTATGTATAGACTATGTGTAGAATATACACACACGTGTGTGTACATATGTATACATACTATTTAGATATACATACATGTTATACAAGGGGGATATTCCTTCCAATAATAAATGACTTTCAAAGAGCACCAATTGTGTCAAACACACCTTAGTTCCCTTCTACAAAATGCTTCTCTTTCTATCAAAACACACAATTTTTTTTGTCATTCTGTATCTTGAAAGGCTTCATTACTTTCCTAAAAGCACTTACTTTAAAAAGCATCTATTCAACAGATTCCATAATTGTTTCACTTTTTTTAAGCCTGATTTGTTCCTAGAAGTTTCACATCCAGATACATAGCAAACCTGCAGGCTTGTTTAGTTGACAAATGCCTTATTACATACAAATAAGATCCTGTAACTTACAGATTTACAAAGAGCATCGATAGATATGAATCAATGTCTAGCATTAGCAGGCACTGAAAATAATTAGATCCTTCTGTGGTACTATAGGCTTAGCAGCAGGCAGAGCCCATCTGATTGACTAATGAAATAACTTACAAAAAAAATGTTATTCTTAGCCTCAGAATCAGTCTCCTGGAAGCTATCATATTCTCATTTGTGTAACTTACCTTTTACAAGCACCTGAGCAACCTGCCTCTAGTGCTAGTTAGGGTTCCTTCTCCAACCAGCTCTTAGTTTAGCAAACAATCTCTGGTTTTCAAAAATAAAGCTGTAGCTGTGGAGGAAGGCTGCTGGTTTAATTTTAACAATTGCTTGTTTAGCTATGGCATTTTTGGCACCAGAAAGCAGTTAATGATTTGCAACTAATTCATACCTATAGCTGAATTTCCTGTTCCATTTAATAAAAAAATGTAATCTTGGCTGTTAGGTTATGTAGCTGCACATGCCCAAGACACTTTTTTTCAAACTGAATTAAGAAACTGCTTAGCAAGGCTAGGAACTTGACAAAACGAATTTTATGGCAATTATCCAAGCTCTTAAACGTTTACAGGGGAAAACATGAAGATTTCATAGACAAAAATATCTTAACATAATGCAATATATGGGGTAAATTTCCTCTTGTATTTAGAAAAATGTGTGATTTTTTTTGTAGAGTAGATGGCTTATAAATACAGTAATTATAAAATACATAAAGCTCAATTTATCAAGGTTTTAAGCACTATGATAGTGGTTCTTTCAAAAGGGAATGGTACTGGAGATCTAAAATCCTTACTTTTAAGAGCAAGTAACATTCAAGTCCCAAGGAGATGTGAAAATCAGCATCACTGGTTCATTTTTTATCCTCTCCTGTTAGTTTCTTCTGACTGAAATAAGTTGGGGGAAAGTAAGTTGCTACAGTTAAGTCGTCAGTAATTTTGCCAACCACTTAAGGTTCTCAAGTTAGATGAAGGAGTTGACATCCGATAACTTAATAGAAATAGGGCTGGCTAAGAATTACTAATCCATACCAGAGTGCAGGGCTTGAATGCAGAAAAGTCTGATTTGTTGAAGCTATTAGTGAAATTTTTGTACTGTTAAAAGATTTGTTTCAATGACTGTTGCAAAACTAACAGATCTAGGGTTTCCCTCTACTAACACTGTCAGCCATAGGCCTTTCTGCACCCTGAGACTTACCAGCCATTTCAGCTTCAAGGAGAACAAGGTGCTAAAGAAAAACACTGTCCAAATAACTGGACAGATAATGAGGCCAAGCCAAAAGATTCGAGCTTCAGCTTCAGTTGAGGCAGCTATTGTAGGCACCTACAAGGAAAATTGAAACTGCTAGTCACAGAGACAAAATCCACAGTAAATAACAAATCAGCAGAGGATGAGAAATGGACAAAATTATTTCTTTACCTAAATTTCACTTACATTTATATGCATGGAAGGAAGATTGAGTAAGAAGTAGTAGTTTTCTGCCCTACTGTATGTGACAGCATTTTCTTTTCAAAATGTTCTGGTCTCTGTTCAGATTTAAATGAGATAATTATTCCTTTTGTCAGTGATAGCTCCCACTAACGCTACAGATGAGTACTATTTTAAAGGTGAATTTCTATTACACTGACAATTGCTTTTAAACTTCAGTTTAAACTGCTTAAGTTAACTTTGAAATTAGATGCAAACTTTACCAAGGCCTTGGAGAAGTGTGAAACAGAAGACGGTGTGACAAGCAGAACTTTAGTGTGAGTACTTTGCTGTCTGTAGTATAGATTCATGATGTGCCCTGTTCACAAATCAAAAATATGGGGGGAAAAAATCAGTCCAGTATCGGAAAAAGCTATAGCATTTAATGTGGAAATTGCAAGGAGCTGTTGCAAGTGCCAACAAGCAAACTTTAAAGATCTGCCACAGGATTTATCCGTTGGTTTCGGTTCAGGCAATGCAATTCTCATAGCAGTGCCCATTTCCATACATTCTCCTAAAAACATGAAGTATCTTAGCTTACTCTAAATCTTGTGTGAAGCTTAGTTTTCTATTATGTAAACTAATACTTCAGTTTTGCTTATGAAGTCCACCAATATTCTATAAATTAAGAACTGTGGCTTTGAAAATGTCTCTTCTGTAATACTACTGTTGGACACTATAGCAACTGCTGGCATCTCTCTGAAAGAGGCATTGTTATTCACAGTTCTCTATTTGTGATCTTTGGGGAGAGCAAAAAACCTCAAAGCAGGCTGCAAAAAGCCCCGGTTGAAGATTTCTTCAGGTCCCCACAACTGGTGTGTCTCTACCTACACTGAAAGGCTCGCTGGTAACTCCCAACACCTAAGAGAAACTAAAGAAAGAGAATTGTTCAGAAGGTTCTGATCTTTCCTAGGAGACCAGAATTCAAAATCTTCGCTCCAAACCTCAGGCTGCTTAACCACCACTAGTGCTAGCTTCTGAAATACAAGCTTCACAAGTGGAAAAGAAAACCCTGTTGGACTGTTCCACGCTGAAAACCAAAAAGACTTTTAGTTAATTTTCAGTATCTTGAATTCTCCAGGTAAAACTAAGACTCATCCATCCATCCATCATGAGGCAGACAATGACATCCAACTTGTAAATTCAGTTAAGTTACTCTATCTTGCCTAAGAAAACCATGCAAGATGCAATAATTACAAGGTGTTTTAATTTTGTAACATACCCTTTAGACCTGTGATGGTGCAGAGGTCCAGAGGATAATGTTCTGTGCCTTCATAGTTACAGAAAAAGACAGGCATTCTGAGTCAATAAAAGGATTTAATCACCTGTATCCCAAACTACTGACAAATTACCCAACAGTGACATTGCATCAGCACTAACTATTTAGGACAAAAAAAGTCAATACACCTGAGAACACTAAAAGACTAGTTAACTTGATGAGCAAGATTACAAAAGGCTGCAGTCATCCCAAGGAAAGGAGAGGGGAGCTGTGATGTTTGGGATGTAAGGGTAAATTACTTTTCTTCCAGCAACCCTCAGCAGAAGATAGGATTTCAAGGGTGAACCTCTGTTGCATCAGGAGCACACCAGTAATTAGCTGCTTACTGTTGGTGAGTGACTTGAAATATTTCTAAACAAATTCACCCATAAGAGATCTTAAAAAGTTGCTAGAGGACTGGTAAAGGAGGCAGGGAATGCCTGACTCTGGAAAGCATGAGAATCACATGTGTTCCAGGAACTTGCCACAACAAAGTATTTATCATAGATACACCACGACAAAAACACAATCCACTCTAGTTACGTGTTCCTTCTTGTGGTGCTATGATTTTCACATAAATCAAGCTACCATTTGCTGGAATTTTTGGAAGGCTTTAGCCCATACAGATGAGTCAACTTTGTGCTTCTAGGCTAGAATTAACAAAGTGTAATAGGTGAACTAGGCTTGCTCATTTTACAGTAATTTTTACATCAGGAGGTCATTTTATGGATGCCATTGTTTTTAAATGCTAAGAAGGCTCTTGCTTACTGCCTCAACTTGACAGACCTTAGAAACTCTGATGGTCTCCTAGTTTCTGTGCTTTCATGCAGACTTGCCTATATTCTCTTTTTAGGCTCCATTTGAATTACAGGAAGAACGTTAACATCTGTTACCTTCTTAATGGTGTGCAGCCCCTGCTTGGGGTTGTGCTCCTGCTTGGCTGCATTCTCATTGCAAATGGCTGCAGGGCTGCTAGAGGGCACTCCAGACCCGCATGTTCTGAGTATTTTACACTTGGCTCTGTACCCAGGCTGTGTGCACAGTTGGGTTTGTCTGAAAGGAATATCCTAGTGAGTAGCACCTGAACTGTCGTTCTGCTAAGCTCTTGCCTGAATGAGGCTGTGGAGAGAATGTTAGCAAGTGAAAGCAAAAACCTGCAGTCTTGACTCTGGCAGCAATGCCAAGAGCAATCCTGCTCAGGATGTTTGGGGGAGCACTAGCAGTATCAGAATGCTCTGTGATCTGGGTTCTACTCCCCATCATATTCCATGAGTGTGGCTCCAGAGCAGGGCCACAAAAATGCTCAGATGGCTGGAGCACCTCTCCTATGAAGACAGGCTGAGAGGGTTGGGGTGGCTCAGCCTGGAGAAGAGAAAGCTCCAGGGAGACCTTATAACAGCCTTGCAGTGCCTGAAGGGGCCCACAGGACAGCTGGAGAGGGACTTTTTGCAAGGGCATGTAGGGATGGGACAGGGGGTAATGGCTTTAAACTGAAAGAGGGTAGATTGAGATTATAGAGGTAAGGAAGAAATTCATCATGATGAGGGTGGTGAGGCACTGGACCAGGTTGCCCAGGGAAGTTGTGGGTGCCCCCTCCCTGGAAGTGTTCAAGGTCAGGTTGGATGGGGCTTTGAGCAACCTGGTCTGGTGGAAGGTGTCCCTGCCCATGGCAGGGGTGTTGGAACTGGGTTCAGGTCCCTTCCAACCCAAACCATTCTATGATTCTAAAACATTCTTTTTAAAATACTGAACTGGAACTATGCAGTGTCACTTTCAACCTAGATCTTTCCTGAAGAGGATTTTGCATTGGGATTAACTGTGGGAAGATACATTTATTATAAGATGTTCCCACTAGAAAGTAGAATAGAACTACCAGAAACATTTTATACCAATAGTACCAGGCTATGAATATTCATTCTGCTGATGCATGTGATGGCAATGGTGCAAGACTGGTTTTGTTCTGAACACTTACCACCATGTGACAATCTGGTGTGCTTGCAACTGAATACTTACATTATCTTCTATAGAAGCTGGATAAAAAGTAACTGCTACAAAGGTGCTCTATTTGTTACTTTATTTGATTTGGTATCAGCTTTACAATCTTTCCTATGGATTCTGTTTGTCCTGTGCCTACTTTTATTAATGTACTTACCCTTTTTGCTTGAAACACCCAGTGGCTTTTTCCATCTTCATCAATCTGGTTCCACCAATGCAAACCAACCAAGAGTCTTCCTGTCACGTTCTAGTGACAGAAACAATTATGTGCATTAATCAGTTGCATAATTCACTTGCAATACTAACATTAAAAAAAAAGAGAAGCATGTCTGAAGATCATATTCTTTTATCAAATGCTAAAATCAGTTCTAAAAGCTTTGCCAGCTTGAGTGAACAGTCATTCAGGATGGATGAGTTACCAGAGATTTAGAGGCCTGTTCTTCTCTTTTAATATAATAATTAGCACAATAACATTGATTTAGGCAAGAAATTATAGGATGTATCTTTTGTAAGTCAGTTAGTTGGATAAAGAAATTTCCTCAATAAGAGAGGAGAACTGCGAACAAAAACACACTGAAGAAATGCAGGATTAATTATAAGCAAGTAAGCTGCATGGAATCAAGCAAACAAATTAAGAAAATATTTCTGCACCTGGATGAATACTGGAAGCTTTCAGTTCACTGGAGATGCATCAACACTTCGCTTCTACAAAGCAAAAGCCTTGTTCTATGTGTGGAGCCCCTGGGTTTCTGGGCTGGCCTGACCCACCTGCCTGCACGTGATGTGATTTGGGCACGGGTGCTGTAACTGGGCTCCCAGGAGCCTTCTGCAGCTCCCGCCTTCTGGGTCTGGGCACAGTATTGCAGCTTTGGGCATCCTTTCACATCCATTACTGAAAGCCAGTATTACTTTTTTTTTTTAAGGGGGAAAGCATACAAACAAACCTACCCATGGCAAGGCATTTTTCTCACTATATTAGTAGCTCCTATCAGCCATAGAGAACATGGCAATAAACAGTAACTGGACATGTAAATGGCTTAATTAAAATGGGCTAGACATTTAATAAATCAATAGATGACAATGGATTTGTCATTTTAGTCAGTATACACATTTCCTTTTTTGTTTTACTTAATGGCACACAGAATACTTTCAAAGGTAGTTACTATTCAGGGTCATCTTACCTTAACTGACCAAAAGTCAAATGATAGGAGGAGGAGAATAGTGACAAAACAAGCAACAAAGCTGTTGCTGAACCAGTCACAGAACAAGTAGGTAATAATAGCACTCACTCGGAAAAACAGGTGGAAAAAGGTGGCCAGTGGGTGCCTAGAAAACAAAAAAACACAGAGCACTTAGGAAGTTATGGAAGAAGGAATGTTACAGTATTTGCTAACAATGGAGTATAACACAACTATTTCTAGTCTATAATGGTATTTTGGTTTGTAGCTGCTGTTATTTCATATGTTGATGTATACCTTCATTATCAAAGCAACAGCCAACCTTCAATCTGACGCTAAAAGATGGAACATGTTGTTTGTTCATGTCAAAATTTTCTCAAAGACAGAACAAAATCTAGAGTTTTTCACCAGCATCTTTGGTATGCATGAAGGAATTTAGTGGTTGTGTTCAACGCTGTACCATAAAATCCTCATTTCATTAAATAAATCAGCATTGCAAGGCACAAAAGAATTGAGACAGATCTTATGGCATTCAGAGCTGTTTTGAAAACTGGAACAGGAACTCTGAAACTAAAAGAACAACAACAGAAAAACCCAAATCAAAACCAAAAAAATGTAGCTATTGGGTATAAGACAAAATAAACCTTCATATGTAATGTCTGAAACCAAATGCTTCCTTTTACAGAGGGAGTACAATTTGGGAATCTAACGGTTCTTATGAATGAATGTTCATTAATTTCACTGGATATTCATGCTTTGCTCATCAGACAAAATTTTGTCTGTAACAAAATGAAGGAGAATTTCAGTGGACAAAGTAACTATATGGCATGGAATATCAGCCTGTACAGGAAGACGGGGGTGGGGGGGTGGAGAATGCTATAATGAGCACAGTGCAATTTTCAGGGTAACATGCCAAGTACGAAAACTTAATCTGTACAGTTGTTTTTGTGTTAATTAGTTTAAAGTGAGAATTAACTAGAGGCTATTGCACGTAAGCAACATCTTCCCTTGAAGCTGAGTGAATGAAACTTGTTTTCCAAGTAAGATTTATCTTTTTTAAAGCCAGTGATTGTCTCATTAAGCTCCTCTACCTCTGTAAACAATTAACAGTAGTATGGCCTAGGTCATAATTAACTACTCAACTATTAAGTGTTATTCTATTATTGTGTATAATAAAGTGATACATATAATATATACACAATTACAATTGTTTATTATAAACTTAAATTATAAGTAGATTTAAATTATAAGTTGCTATACCTTTATTGTAATATTATTATTCCATAGCTGTTTAACTGTTCTAGTATAATGGCAGCATTGTGCTTGTAGTACTACACAAGCATGACTGGAGAAGCAAGAATGATGCACAGCTGCAGTTTATATTTACTCCTGGTCATGCTCATACTAACCTCAAACTTTCCAAAACCTTCTGATTTAAAACTAAACACTTGTCATTTTAAGCGAAAGAAGCTTTTTTCTGCCATAAGCAGACAGGTGGGTGGGTGGACCAGAGGGAATACTGTGAACTGTCAAAACCAGATAGTGTCTTGCTACTTCAAGTCTTGACCTCATTCAAGAAGACGTAAGAGTTCATTCCATAAGTGGTCTCGTGTCAATACAAGCTATTCATAGATCAGAACGCTAAAGTGCATCAGGGTGGACTGAGCTTTTATAACTATATCGGTCCTCCGAATGAGAAAGCAACTTTGGAGTAGTGGTGTTTCATTTTGGAAGTCAGATGATGAATTACTGTTTGGATGCTGAACCTGTTCCAATATCAAACTTTGAACGGTGTTTACTAAAAAAAAACAGCACATAAGCAAGAGGCTCGCATTTATTACAGTTCTCAACACTTTATTGAGACTACGGAGTATCAGTTCTCTCATAAGGATATGGCTAGCCAAGCCAAAGACACAGACTTGCAGGTTCTTGTCCTAGGGGAGGAATATGGAGATATATCAAAACTTGCACCTCATTCTTTGGACAACTCTCTCAATCTCAGAAAATGTCCACCTATTTATGTTTTTTAAAAAAAAAATAAATCCTGAAACCAACAGAATCAAGTAAATAAATTGTTCACTTTAACATAACAAATGTGTTTTCTTAATTCATAGCCATTAGATTACACTTATAGCTCCTATTATACATGAACGGAATTTTTAATAAGGTGATAATCCCAGATAGATAAAATTATTTTAAAACTTGAAGCTAAACCATCTGCATCCTTTTTGAAACAAAAAACTTTACAGCTTTTCTTAAGTGAATGTATTTATATTGAATTCAATTGTACTTTACAAAATTTTTTTAAAAGCTGATTTCCAGAAATATAATGGCATTTAAGAAATCATTGTATAAACTAACATGATTTCTTGTACTAATATTAGTATAGGCTTTAAAACATAATAACTTTTTTATTCAAATCCAATAGAGGATAAAGGTAACTAAAACTCTGCACTGGCTCTGCTTGGCATGCATTTGTTCCTGAAAGCACAGCAACTCACTTGCTTGGGTTTGTAGTTATCCTGTTGCATCTAAACCTCCATATAGTGGATAACTGTTCCAGATCAAATGTTCTGATGCTGTCATGAACTGCAAAGATGGTGTAAGTTACCTTTTTCCTAATCTTCTTATGAAAGCAGCTGCTAGCTAAGTCACTATCCACATACCTTTTGCTTTTAGGGAGCACTTGCATATATCTTGGAGAATCACAAAAGCAAAACTTGTCATAGCTTCTGCAAATTCTAAACAAGTTGAAGATATATGAAATTGGGATAAAGACAAATGATTGGAACATGTTGTTATGCCCTCTAATAAGGCAAGAAAATTTTGCAGCACGTGGGTGTGTTCCAGTCTTGTTTGCACAAGATTCTTCAGTTCATAAAAACAAATTCCTGTGTGAGCGATGTAAGGAGTTTCATTTCTGTATTCTATAGCAGAAGATTTTTCAGTATGAGATTATCTTCTAGTATTGTTACAATGAGGACAAGAAAGAAGAGCAGTCTCAATGAAATAAGTTATCTACACAAAGTGGAACAATTAATAGTATGGTTTTCTGATACTTTGCCTGTCTGTATTGGAGAGCGTGAACCAGTAGGAACAGATCTTCATAAAGTAAAGTAATTGGTGCTGTGAACCTCTTACAAACATTTTTGGGTGGTTTCACTTCATGCTAACTCTAGTCTGGTCCCATGGACTGAATCTGTAGCTCATGTGCTCAAGACACACTCCTAAGCTGTATTTCCCACTTTAGTTTAATCCTTTAGGCTATGTTCACCAAGACTGCACAAAAATATAAACCTTTATTTAAAACGTGTGCTGCTGCTAAACCACAGCAACAAAGCAACTCTGGGGATGTTAATCTTGTGTCATGGCTGACTCCTCATATAGTTGCAAAGTCCGATGCACTGGAAGAGCAGAAATGCTTCACCAGACACTAGTAAAATAGAGTAATTGTATTGTAATGCTATGTGATTGCTTGTTTGTGTATCTCAGATAACACTCCTGTTAGGTTTAACATCTCTTGTTTTTCTTGTTTCCTTGTTACCCCTACAAGAAATCTTAACATTGTAACGGACCAGAGTAAACTGGGGCAAGGTGGAAGGGAAGGAAGCAATATAAATCAAAGCTGATTATATACATTATTGATGAGTGCATATGCATATGTATAGGTCCTTTTGACATAAAACTTTTTCCTTCACAGTCTGACGAGAGATTTTTCAAAAGCCACTGATGGAACAACAGTTCTGTTGCCTGGGACCTCGGTGTGGACAGACCTGCAGAGTGGCACCTCTGGTAACATAAGGGCAGACTGCTTAACCTGACAGATGAGACAGATCAATGGGTTAGGTTTTCTTAGGCAACAGCTACAAGGATAAAATATACTATATTCCACATAACATCACATCTTGTGGTAGGAGAATGTGACAGTTTTGTTGTAAATAACTTGCCCTTTCCATTCAGCCAGGTGTGCAAGGCAATGCCAGAGCACTCTGCTGCACAGTTTGTTTTGCTGAAGATGAGAGTGCTCTCCACTTCTCCAGCTCTAAAAAAAAAAAAAAAATAATAATAATACGGTTTGGTTGGGGGATTTTTTTGTGATATGTTTGCTTTGGGTATGTAAAATTTCTGTTTCCAAAGGCAGGACAATGCTGAGCCAGCCCGGCCGCGGGCCTGGCCTGCTCCAGCCCGGGCAGCTGGAGCTGGCTGCCCAGCACCAAGCGCCTCTCGGGCGGCCTGTTCCAGCGCTTGACCACCCTCCCTGTAAAAAAAATGGGAATTAAGTGTTTAAATGGCGTTTCTTGTATTTCAGCGCGTCCGTCCGGCTGGAGCAGCAAGGGCTGCCCAAGCCCGGTTACCTCAGGTGCGCGCCGCGACGCTGAGGCCTCCGCGCCGGGGCCG